TTTTTTTCTTGGTTATACTTGCTGTTATTTCTCCTTACACAGGCACAAAATAAATTCCCAGGTATCTATAAAAACCTGGAGCCTGTTATTCCTATGATGTGTTTAGAATTACACTGGAATGCCCTCCAGTAACAGATATCCTTGTTACTTTACAGCTCTGAGGAAGGATCTGCAGCTTGTGTTCAAGTTATGGGGGAGAAAAAAGTGATTTGAGATCTTACTTCATCAGGTCTGTCTGGAAAATTAGGGACAGTTGTGGAATGAGGAGGTTTAGTCTTAACACAATGAAATGGAGAGATTATGGAAAGACAAACTGTTAATTTGAGTGCATACTTTATAAATCTTACTATTTTGCAGATTGTTCTTCCTTTTCAGAGCTGTAATAGGGAGTCATCAAACAAACTTTAATGTTCCATAAAGAAGGATTCTGCCTTTGGGTTTGTGAAGTACAAAATGCCTTAGAAATGTTTGTTATATGAGCCTGTGTACCTGAAAATTGGTGTTGGTGTAAAAATCCATTTTAATAACTAGTGTGAAAAAGGTAGCTGGGTAGGTATGACTTCAGCCAGTGAGTGTATACCTGTTCAGAAAAGTGTAATATAATTATATAAGGGAAGATAACTCCTTGCTGGGAAGGTGTGGCAGTAAGTTGACCTTGGGAATAGTTGCTGCAGTTAAGATTTCTCTGGAATCATAAAATAATTTAGATTAAAAGGGACCTCTGGATGTCACCTTGTCCAATCCTCTCCTCAAAGCAAGGCCAATGTTTTAGTCAAGTCAGGTTGCTCATGGTTTTGTGCTGTTCAGTTTTGAATCTCCCCAAGAATGGAAATCCTACTATCTGCACAGACTCTTTTTTTGGTGCTTAACTACTATTGCTACTCAGAATTTTTTCTCTGTGGGATACAGTGCAGAACTTGCACATCTGAAAACCTATTCTGGGGCCAAAACCATAAAATGCCACTGGGATTTTAAGTATGCATTTTCTTTAATGGACACCTAAAGGAAAGAGGATGTCATCTTGATGTTTTTCTGATTGACAACACGATTGATCATTCGCTTCTTATTCCACCTGCAGAGTGGTAGCTTGTCAAAGCAACTGGGCTGTGGCTGGTGAGTGGCCTCCTGAGCTGAGCCAGCCGTGCCCAGCCCAGGTGAAAACACCTTGTGTGGCTCAGGCAGCCCCGTGGAAAGACACTTGGCATTTGCAGTTCCATTGCATGAAGCCATTACTTGTGGAGTTAGAAAACCTACGTTACAGCGTCGAGTTAACTGCCTTAAAAGCAGTGAAATCCAGCGCTGCCATCCTTTTTCCTTCCTGTTTCTGTCACTGGGACCACCTCCGTTGCCTCCATTGTTGTGGATGTCTGTCTGCTTCTGTGCACCTAGAAATGTTGGCTGGGTTGTTTTTGGTTTGCTCTTTGGTCACCTACATGCTTGACTGAGTAACTTGAATCCTGTGCTGTATCTTGTGCTGTATCTTGAGTCCTGTGCTGTATCTGTAGCCCATGGCTTACACTTTATTTTATTTTATTTTTATTTTTCTTCCCTAATTTTTATTTTTTCTTCC